AGATTCCACCACAGAAGCCTTTTCTAAGGTGGCTGTTTGTTGACTAGGAAAGTGTGTTTATCCTAACAATTCTGTCTGTCTTTGATTTTCTTATAAGCCAAGCAACGCTTCAGTCAATTTCCACACCAGGTCTCAGTGCATATTGAGGTTTGGTCCTTGAAAAGCAGGGTGAGCAGAGGCTTTGGTGCCAGACTTGTGAGTTGGACCCTGGCTCACCTTTACTAGCTGTGTAGTCCTGGACCGCATGCTCAACCTCTCTGGGCTTTGCTGTCCTCATCTGTGGATTGCAATTAATACTAGTGCATACCTGACCAGGTGGTTGTGAAGATTGCACGAGTTATGTGTGGGCAGTGCTTAGAACAGTTCCTGGCCCGGGCTAAGAGGGAACTATTGGCTCTTAGCTATTATTCATAGTAGGTGTTTTGTTCTGTTTTCTTTTGTTCTGTTTTCTTTTGTTCTGTTCTGAGGGACTGGTTCTTTATTCCAGAAAGAAACTTGGGACCAGCAGTTAGCATAATGGCTGTGTCGCTGGACTCCCATGTAGTCGACAGCGGTTCACGTCCCAGACCCGGTGGCTTAAAACTCACGCCAGGTGTGAGTGTGTGCCCAAGATCCCGAGAGGAGAATGGAGGAGAAGGGATTGTGCTGTGACCATCCCCCTGGGGGGCGATTTCTCGCTATCTCTGTCTCTCTGTCTGTCTGGCAAGCGCATGCGCCCTATGGCAAAAACCTCTCCAAAAAAAAAGAAAGAAAGAAAAAAAAAAAAAGACACTTGTCCATATTTAGTGTCAAAACAGTTGCACTGTTGACCTTCTTCCAGTTGACCTCAGAGACCACACCAAAGGAGGGTGCACTTTTCACCAGTGCACTGCAGAGGGTAAGACCTTAGGAGGCCTCACCAAAGCGTGGGGACTGGGAGAGGAAAGAACTCCGAGGAGCATGCTGCCAGCCCACAGACCCCGGGGTGCCCTCCCAGCCAGATGGGGTGGCCAGGGGGGTCCCAACTCTAGAGAAGCTAAGTTTCGAAATAATAGGAAAATGTTTAAAGTTCTGTCCATAATCTGTCCAAGATTTCTCCAGCACTGACTGATAGAAAGCGCAACGAGATGGCTCTTTAGAGACTGCAGGTCCCCCCCACCGAGGGTGACGAGCTGGGTATCGTATGCCAGCAGCCGCGCAGACTGCAGGTCCCCCCCACTGAGGGTGACGAGCTGGGTCTCGTATGCCAGCAGCCGCGCAGACAGAACTTCTTTTCCTCTCCTCTCTCGAGGAGGCAGAGCCACCCAGTGGTCATCTCGCTGTAAGCGGTGTGCCTGTGCTCGCTATCCCCACCACTCCACAGCCCCAAGCCTGCCGCTCTCCGTGGCCCCGGGCTCTGCGAGGGCTCGCTCTGGCTGTGAGAGCGCGGAAGGCCAGTGTGTTTAAGGGGGCACCTCATCGGTCTGTTGTGTGATACGGTTCACACAGGAAGGCAGGTCGGGCACACTCCAGCAGGAGGCGGGGTGCTGCCGCCCTCGACGCAGGTCTGGATCCTCGTAGTTTAGACCTGCCCATTGCCGCGTGTTTCATGTATGTGCCAGTACCCAGCTGAGCTCTCCCCAGTCCAGGGTCTGGGAGTGACCGTGGCTACTTTCTCATCTCACTCCCCACACATGCGTGAGAAATGCTGTGTGTCTAGGGACCTCGCAGTGTCAGGGGAGCGATTTCCCACGAGGGTCACTTCGTTAGGACTCACGGAGCCACTGTCCACACCACACGTGGTCCTGAGTGCCCCCAACCAAGGATTCTGGAGTTTCTGGGATTTCCTCTCCTGCAGAGAAAATAAATAGTTCCAAGAGAAATAAAGTATAATCTCCCCTGATTTTAATCTGTTCTTCTTCCCACGAAACATTATTCCAAGTGGAGAAGGGATTGCAGGAGGGTGGCGAGCACTGTCGCTGGAGATCGACTTCCCTGTTCTCCATGAAAAGTGCCCGTCGTCCTCTGTTCTGCCCAGGTAGCGGAGGCATGAGGGCATTTGGTCCTGGGGAACGGGGCACCTTTGTGCCACTACAAGGCAGGACAACGGCTGGTCACCAGGTGCACAGTCTTGCTCACAGACAGCAACGGAGTGAGCACGGGCTTTATGCTGTGACTCATGGCCCAGTGACGGGCAGCAGCCTGGTGGCACCTGCAGTGTGGAGAAGGCAGAGGGTGGGGAAACGGGTTCCCTGGTCCGTGGCCTCCAGTAGATCTCTGTTGTTCTACTTGGAGGGAAGTCTTTCTAAGCTGCTAAGCCTCTTTCGACTGCACGTACAGCGTGGAACATGGCCGGATCCCTGCCTTTCCCACGGCGTTGCAGTCCTCAACGATGTGGGCCGGAGTGGCCGATGCAGTGGGAACTCTGCCAGGAAGGCTTCGGTGTACGTTTAGGAAACGCAGGTTAGTGAGGCCCACCTGGCTCCCATAAAATGTCTCAAGGCAGTGGTGTGCTGGGGGCATTGCAGTTCCGAGAGGGGGACGCAGGAGGGGCATGGCCAAACCTAGTGGACCACAGGTTTCCTAAATGGCCTGCAGCCCCAGAGTTGGCAGGACTTTGGGTGGCAGGACTTTGGGTCGCAGTCCCGAGGTGGTGTGTATGGCAGGTGTAGGGACCGCCCTGGAGCTGGGTCTTGTCTGGGCTCCACTTCCTCCCTGTCCCGGGACCGCGGGATGGCGCTTTGACTCCAAGCTGCTCCCTTATCTGTGTGGGGAGGGTCCGGGGCCCTGGGCAGGTGGGCTGCGAAATCACGAAGACCATACACTCACGAATAGTTCCATCAGACCAGGAGAGGCTGAGACAGGCGACGGTTTGGAAGAAAGGCAGGATGCATCTGTTTGTCTGCCTCGCTAGGGATTTCACTGAACTGAATGGGTCACTTTCCCTCCAGGGAGTTGAAAGGAGAGTGACCATAGCTTCCCTGTGGACGCCAAGACGATGCCTGTGATTCTCTCGCCTCTTGGCAGTTCTTTATTATTTTTTATTATTTTTTTTTATTATTATTATTATTTTCCACAGGGCACACATCATCACTAGAGAGACAGAGAGGGCAAGTGAGAAAGCAAGCCACCAGGTCCAGGACTCGAACCACAGGCTGCTATGTGGGAGTCCAGCACCTCAGCCACCGCACCACCTGTTGGCCCATCTCTTGACCACCTTGTCCATTCGCAGTGGCAGATGGGGCAGCACACAGGGACGGGTAGGGAGTCGTGAACAGAAAGCGCCCCGCTTGCCAGGGCGGGCAAACGCAGTGTCCAGAGGGACTCAGGAAACTGCAGAGCTTTTCACATGTGCGAAACGCTACGGCGGCAAAATCGAAGCGAAGCGAGGCTCCTTACAGCCCTTCATGCTGCTCAGCGTAGTGTCCACGCTGTGTGCTGCAGATGAAGTAGCGGATTTGAATACAGGCGCTGGAGCCCTCAGAGCATCAGTATGTGTGATTCACAGAACACGTTCCCTACGTAACACGTTACAGACTCTGGCTCTGGCACCAACGGTCCCAGGTAGATGAGCGGCTGATGGGAACCCTGAGCACAAAAGCACATACAGAGTTCGGGGTCCCCAGGCTGGCCTGGCTGTTTGAGAGGCAGAGTGCGAGGCTGTCACTCCCTCGCGAGGACTGCTCACTGTGTGGCCTGAGCACTATGGAACTCCTGCCCCATCTCCCTGCCATGGCTTCCTTCTTGAAGCCACAGAGACAGGCCAGTGGCTGGCCCTGGCCAGCTGGTGAGGCAGTGAAGACAGCCCACAGCTGGTCCCTGCTGTCTGTCCCACTGGGGTCCCTGGGAGACCAGCCAGGGGACGGCTCCCTGGTACCGTGCACCAGGCTGTGGTGTGAAGGAGGGGTTGGCACACACCCCAGGGTGCTGGCTACCACCAAAATCCAGCAGTAACTTTTGAGCCTTAAAATCTTATACCGGTGCATCATGAATTATTGAATTAATGCTGCATATTTAGAGCAACTTCTTAAAAGTGTAATAATTTATTTAGCCCTTATGGGTCTTTTGGTGTATTTCTTTGAATTGTTAAGAGGAAAAAAAATTATTCTTAGAGCTAACTTCACTGGACTACTCCCTTACTCATGCTTCTAGAGTTCTAAACTAGAATCACACCCAATGGCCCCTAAGTTTCAAGCACCTGATGCACAGTAGGGAGACCTGCCCCCCACCTGTAGTGTCGCTGGGCTGCCATGCTGTAGGAACCAGCCGGCCAGCCCCTTCTCAGCCTCAGGCTCAGGACACCGGCCCTCAGTGTCCTGCCCTACATCTGGCTACAAGCATTACGAGACAGGTTAGGGACCTAAGCATCATCCATACTGTTTCTAAGGGGAAAAAAATTCTTTGGTCCCTCCAAGTAAGCGCCTCATCTGGAGAACACCCTCCTTTGCAAGGCGGGCCTACCACCCTGAAGGGAGCCACTCCCCGCCAAGCCTGCACTGTGCTCTGCCCTGGGGTGCTGGCCCTTCACTAATCCTGACCTGCAGATGACTAATCCCGGCCATCTGGGTGGCCCCACCTAAGGAGAGTTTCGAAATGAAGCCCCAGGTCCTTCCTGTGCTTGAGGGTGCAGTCAAAGCGGCAGTGCCATCTGTAGAGGGTGGAATGGCGGCCGTAAGACCTCATCTTCTCCAAAGCTCCTGAGAAAACACCATGGATGTTATATCCCATGTGTCTTAAGCTGGGTGTTTTGTCACGAGTGACATCACACTTTATAAAAAAGACATCAGTTTTGGGACCAGCAGATGGCGTAATGGTTATGTTGCTGGACTCCCACATGGTTGACTGTGGTTCCAGTCCCAGCCTCAACAGCTTAAAACTCATGCCCGGCACATGTGTGTGTGCCCAAAATCCCAAAAGGAGAATGGAGCAGAAGGGATTGTTGCATAGCCATCCCCCCTGGGGGGTGATTCTCAATTTCGGTCTCTCTGTCTTTCTCTAACTGTCTGGTGAGCACAAATTCCCTGTAGCAGAAAAAATCTCTTTCTAAAAAAAAAAGGGCAACAGGTTTTTACAAGGTTAGCTCTGTTTGAGCCTGAGTCCCACTCTGGGCACCATACTTCCCGAACCATCCCAGACTTTTAGGCGGGAATCCTGCAAAGAATCCCAGCCCCCATTGGCAGCTACCAGGAGTGCTGTGTGGAAGCAGATGAATTCCTGTTAAAGGCGTTAGTTCAGGCTCTTGGAAGTGGTCTTCGAGGAGGCCTGCACCCCAGCCCTCTTCATCTTCCCACTCCCAGCTTGCCATCTCTGTCTAAAGATTCAACTCATCCTTTCGCCATTCTCAGGTTGACTTGAGGTGATCTGAAGACCCCTAAGCCCCTCTTTCCAAACTGTCTAAGCCACTGTCAGCTCCTCGTGAACTTGGGAACACAGTCGGAACTCTGCCTTTCCCACGGGTCGAGGTGTGACTCGGACTGGGCCAGTGCTGGTGGAAGGTCTGCCTGGAAGACTTCCATCTTCCTGCTTTAGAAAACGCAGAAGAAAGCCCGTTTACTAATCTTCAAGGTCAGGCTGGCAAAAGCTAGAGGTAGGAGAGCTTCTCTTCCTGGGGATGCCAGGGTGTCCTCTCATTGTACCAGGGCCAAGTTGTTAGCAATGCAAATAATCCTGCCCCTCTCCAATCTCTCCTGTGCAAGCCTTCGAGGCTCCCTGTCCAAGGAGCTGCTTGCATTCCTGAGAGGTGAGCAGCGAAGAGCCCCAGCTACCTGCTCCAGGTAATTCTTGCACACTCTGTGAGCCGCTTGTGCTCAGCTGGGGGTCACTGGGCGCCACACTGGGTACTAACAGCGTCTGCTGAGTATCTGTGTGCTCCAGGCACCAAGCCACATTCCACCGTTGTCCTCGACCTTGAAGGGAAGCCAGGCAGCAGAAGCCTATGCCACCTTGTGATAGGTGGGATGTTCTTGTGGGAACACAGCTGGGAATGTCCGGGTCCTGCTCAGAGGATGGGGAAGGCGGGGAAGGTACCGCGTGGCCAGCCTCTGAAGCTGGTGCTCACCAGCTGGTTCAGGACCAAGGCCATACCAGGCAGAGGGAACAGGAGCATTTCTGTCATGAAATTGAAACTCTTGAGAACCCCAGCAAGGTTGAAGATTCTATAATTGTGTTTCCGTTTGGAGTGACCATACAAGATGTTTAGTATAGAATGCTTTTAGAGTGGAGGAAGGTACTATTAGTCATTACACCAGGACTGGTGCTGAAAGCAGACTGTCCCAGGGAGTCGGGACACACAGCCATCCAAGAGCAAACCTAGATCCTGATAAAGGGTCAGAGAGGAGGCAGCAGGGAACTGGTTGACACCCACCTCCTCCCTCCTACCCCCATATATACATTTAAACAATAGAAATAAAAAGATAGACGAACACAATGCCGCCTCCCACTGCAATCACTTTGAAACTGCAGTGTAGAAAAGGTTTGCACTTCTGCCCCATGACCATTGCAGGGCTCTGTCAGGCCTGCTGCTGAGCCGGGGATACGCTGGGTGGCCCGTTACAGCCCGTGGTTCCCTTAGCGAGGCAGACGCAGAGGAAAAGCAGCAAACACCATCTGAGCTGAGCAGAGCTCCTGTTTGACTCACAGTCTTCGCACCATTGAACTTCTTTGAGACTTCTTCGAGACTGTTCTGAGTTAGAACTCTGTTCAGTCTTCACCCGCTCTTTTTTTTTTTTTTCTATAGGGCGTGTGCACTCGCCAGATAGAAAGAGAGACAGAAAGAGAGACAAAAAGCGAGAAATCACCCCCCGGGGGGGATGGCCACGCCGCAATCCCTTCTCCTCCATTCTCCTCTTGGTATCTTGGGTGTGCATGCACACACACCCGGCGTGAGTTTTAAGCCACCAGGTCCGGGCCTCGAACTTTGGTCGACTACATGGGAGTCCAGCAACATAGCCATTATGCCAATTGCTGGTCTCTTCACCCGCTCTTATGAAATGAGCCACAGATGCAGGTGACTCATACCTGGGCTTTTCAAATGCCATACTTACTCTTTCCTTGGGCAAATAGACCCTCATGGTACACAGGCTTGTCAGGTCTTCACCGCGTATTCACATGCCCTGGCCAGACTCCAAGGCTTTCCCCCGGTGTCACCTTCCCTGAGGCTCCTTCCCCCCAGGAGTCCAAAGTGACAGCCGGCTCACTGGATGTGAGGAACAGTGACCCGCACACACAGGCGACTCCACTAGTGCTTTCAAAGTGAGGCTGCATGGCCCAGAATTCCCAGGACAGTCCTGGCACCAAGCTTTCTGTCCTGTGTCCACACAAGGACTTGTGTTTGTCGGCAGTGTGCTCTGGTCTGGTTTTCTTAAGCATTTCAGTAGGGTTATCCTGCGACCCAGAGCAAGAAGGGCCAGGGCTTGTTGCAGAGCGGGTGAGTCTGCCTTAAGCCCCAGGCCACCCTACAGGGCCCAGTGCCTCGTGCGGCTCAGCCCCTTCCAAGCAGGCCCCGTCTGGGAGCGTCACTGCTGCATCTCCAGCACTTCGGTGGACACTGGCTAGTTGCTCAGGGAATACCTCTCTGAGGCAGGGGCAGGCACTACGGCCATGAGCACAGACCCGCACACGCCACCTGCATGCCCGCACACACAGGCCACCCTGGCCCCATACGTGCCAGTAGAGCATGCCAACCAGAAGCTACACTCGGGCAGGCTCTGGCCGCCTTAACCACTAGGCCCCGGGACCAGTCCTCCTCGGTTTCCTAATGGGAGGTTCACATCGGCCCTGCTGGTCCTGGAAGCAGGTCAGCCAGCCTGCTGAGGTCAGCCCAGCCGTCCCCGGAACCTCCTTGTGCCGTGCTGTGGGTATCTCTGCAGGGCATCTCGGCTCGGCAGAGGAGCTGTCTGGGTCACTGCTGGTTCAGTTTCTTCTGCAAAGCATGAGGAGGTCCATGCCGTGGTCTCCAAGCCGGGCTGCAGGGGTGGGGTCGCCCTCCACATGTGTCTTTCCTGCTGTCATTTGGAAGCTCTGCCCGGGTTTCCACGCTGCCTTCATGACGGCCCTCTCCTGACCCACACCTGCTCTCTACTGCCTGCCTACACGTCCCTGAGCTCCAGAGGGGATGCAGTGTCACAGTTCTGACAAGGCAGCTAAGGCTCAAAGAGTTTAGGTCGGTGCCTGTTGCCCCCCCCCCCCGCGCCCTCTGTTAGAATGTGCGTCTTTAACTGCTGGCCCTGGCATTGCTCGGCCCAGTGAGGCTGCCTCGCTGTCACGTTAGCTGCCGCTCTGCTTCACAAGTGACAAGGCACCATGCCTGCCTCATTGGGACTCACTGGTAGGAGAGCGGGTTATCAGATCGTTCCCCCAGAAAGCCCAGGAGAGGGCCTGGAGGAAGGACATCAGAGGAGGGAGGTGCAGGGAAAGCTCGGGGCCCAGGGTCCTGGGCGCCACCCGGGATGTGTGCTGATCTTCGCACTCCTGCGGCTTCATTCCTCCCTCGGAAGTCCTCATTGACCAAATTCAGAGACAGTCTGTGGCTCCTACGTGTCCTCAGAAACGACTCTGGAGGGGGAGGGATCCAGCAGTTAGCGTAATGGCTAAGTGTCACTGGACTCCCACGTAGTCGACCGTGGTTTGCGTCCCGGACCCGGTGGCTTAAAACTCACACCGGGCGCATGTGCGTGCGTGCCCAAGATCCCGAGAGGAGAATGGAGGAGAAGGGATTGTGGTGTGACCATCCCCCAGGGGGGTGATTTCTCACTTTCTGTCTCTCTGTCTCTCTCTGTCTGGCGAGCGCACACGCCCTATAGCAAAAACCTCTCAAAAAAAAAAGAAAGAAAGAAAGAAAAAGAAACGACTCTGGGGAGTCCTGTCGGTGGGGGTGCTCAATCTTGTGCTCTTTGATGAGGACATCCTCGGTTTTCTCGTGGTTGCCACAGAGATGCGTCATCAAAATAGGGACAGTTCCAGTTCCCAGAAAGTCACGACGACCTGTTTTCTACTTTAGCTTCTGGCAAACCTCACCGATGTGCACAGTCGGCCTCTTAATGGCATCCCAGGACCCCTTGGGGCCAGTCTTTCATCATCACTCAGCACCCTGTAGAGTGGGTGGATGCCAGGTGCGTCTTCGAGCAGAGGACTAAGACGATGACGATGACGTTGAGAAGAGGTGGGGCAGTGGTCCAAGCTCCGAGGGCAGCTCTGGAGCTAGACCAGAGGAAGGCTTTTCCTCGGCCTCTCCTACATCGCCACACAGTGAGACATGACATGGGGTTTTTTTTAACTTCTCCCTTGGCCTTACTGGTAACCTACACCCTTCCGAAAAGCTATCTCGGAAATATTGGCTAAGTAGAGGTGGAAGCATCTTCGCTGCCCTGTGCCGTGTGCGCTGTGCAGGACGCCGGGCTGGGAGTGGGCAGGGCCTCACCCTGTCGTGGCGGGACCTCTTCTCACTGCTCCGCCTGCAAACCCTGCCCCATGGTGCTTGGAACAAAGGAGAGAGCAGACTGGGTAGGCCCTTGGCATTCTTCACAGGAGCTCTGAGGAGCCCTGAGTTTCTTTAGGAAGAAAGAAAGGGAGGAGAAGTGGAGGGAGGGATTCTTAAAGTACCATTCGGAAGACAAAGCAGCAACTTTTGTATTGTCTTTACATGGGAAATTAATTCAGTTCTTCTTACCGCTAAGTATGAGCTTGTCAGGGGTGTTTCTGAGCTCAGTGAATACAGTATTCTATTTAAACGCCCAATTGGTCTATGAATAGGTATCATTCCCATTTCACAAATGGACGCCGAGGCTACCCATCCGAACTGAGGTTCAAACCCAGGGCATTCCCTCTCAAAGCCCAGGCTCTCGGATGCGCCATCACACGGCTCTCTTCTGCACTTCTGAATCCTCCCTGGTTCTCCAGGGACAGCAGCGGAGTGACTGGGACCCGCCATGTGAGCGGGTGGCCAGCACCCTCACTCCTTCACTTGCTACTGGGGAGCCTGCTTGGTCTCGCTCATCAGCTGAGGTCATTCCTCTGCGTTGTGAATGGGGAGACCTCTACTGGCCCAAGGCGGTCACTATGAACTGCGTGTGATGCGAGGTTAGTAATTAGAAGTCACTGCGTGTGTTCCACTTGTGTCTGGAGAAGGAGGGGGACAGCTCAGAGCAGAAGAAGGGAGAAGAGGGGAACAGCTGGCATCAGACCATGAGGTTTCCTGGTGTGCGGAGAGCCCCAAGCTTTAGCACAGCTTTCTGGAACCGTGTCCAGAGGAAATCAGAGTCCAGCCCGGACGGAGCAGTCGGTGGCTTCCCCCTACATTCCGAGTGTCCGTGGTCCACGCCATCTACATGTCCCCGCTCAGTGCGTGGGGTTTTAGATACGTGGGGGGAGGGGGTGTGTGAAGTTTTGACATGTGAGACAAGTAGCCAGGTGTCTGTGGGCGGGCTGTTACCCAGTGAGAAGTGTTCTAGAACCCCAGACAGAGACACGTGTGGGAAACTCCCTGACTCCCACTCGGGACCCAACCCGTCTCATCTCTAGGTCAGACACACAAGGGCAGGTGGGGGTCAGGGGAGGGTAAAGCCTCATTCATCCTAAAGTCGCAGCGCCTCGAACCAGCAGGTCTGGGGAGGCCATGGGTTGCTGTGAAAGTAGGGAGCGGTTACTGCAAAGCCACCTTCTCACTGGTGGATCTGCAGACTGGTCCGTTTTACAAAGCGACCATCTTCCCCTCGTAAGTGGACGTTACCATGATGCCAGAACAGGCAAGAATGCTGCAGACCAGAGGACCCGCCTGCAGAGGGGCCAGCAGTGGGAGGCGGCAGACAAAAAGGGAATCCACAACCTCCCCACTGTGCCGGGCCAGGTTGAAAACCTTTACCGGGGAAGGGGCTGGTGAGAGCGCATGTCCCCGTGTAAAGGGCAAGTTATTCGTTGTCATTGTCCCAGGCCAGTCACGAGGAGGCCTGGTCATTCGTCTTTGACAGAATCCCAAGGGGCCCTGACAGCAGGGGGCAATCAGTGACTGGGGGCAGTTTCAGTTCTGGCCTGGTGGAATGGCAGGTTTCAGTTCTCTGCGGGGGGCTTAGAGCTTAGCCTGTGATTGAGGCAGTAGGAGCCAATGGAGCCAATCAGGACAGCTCTTAGATCCCCACGTACTTAGATCCTGGCGTAGGAGCAGCGAAGGTCTGGGGGTGGCTTTGCAATGCTTGAGCTGATAGAATCTTCTCAGCCAGTCATATGGGAGGGCTGCTGGGTCCTCTCCCTATCCCCGTAGCCTGGTGGCAGTCAAGACTCAGCAAGGGATGGTTAACTTTCACTAGTGGTAGCACCAGGCGTGATCTGTGTGAGGGAGCTTAAAGGTCAAGTTCTGCAAGACTCATTGTGAAGTGGAAGAAGTTAGAGACAGACTTTCCTAACGCTCCTCTGTTAGGGTGGACTCTAACAATGAGGACAGTTGAGCAATTTGGTTCTCTGTGTCTCAGTTACAACTAGACCAGTGTGAGCGTGAGCACAGTGTGCATCCACAGACAAGTACCTTCCCCGTGCGCTTTAGAAAAGTACTGTAAATTCCAGATGCCAAACCTAGCAGGACTTGGGCTCCTGATTGTCTTCTCCAGGGTTTAGAGTTGTCTTTTATTTATCTTCAGTCAGACTCACTTGGTCCTTATCTACTCCCTAGAGGGAAGAGGACACCCTTGTCCTAGGTCCGCAGTGGACCCCCAGCTCCAGTCATCCTGGGGCGGCTGAGTTGGCCAAAGCCTTGAGGGCCCTGGGATCCACTGCGAGAGGGCTGCAGTGCCATCTTGTGGGGGTTCCCGGCCCCATCGCCGGACTAAGGAGGAGAACAACCTTGACTGTCAGACTGAAGAATGGCGTTTCAGAGAAACGTCTGGTGCAGTGGAGTGAGACGCTTCCTCTGCTCACCAGCCATGCTAATTATTATTTTGGTGTCCGGAAAATTAATAACCCAAGTAAATGAAGGCAAAGCCAGGAGATTTCAGGAAGTAAACATGGCTCGTAAGGATTTTTTTTCCATGTACTTACTAAAAATGTGTTTAAAATCACCCCGGGCAGGAATCTATTTTTCGGCACATTCTGTGAAAGGAGAGCCTCGGGTTCAGAGCAGAGCTGAAACTGTTCCAGAATCCGCTTCCAGGTTGCTGAAGGGCTCCGTGCTTTTGTGAGGCGGGTCAGCAAGAGGACCTCCTTCCCCGTGAAAGCAGGTGCACCTCAAATCACCCCCTCCATCACTGTCACAGAAGAAGGCCCCGTGGACCTCAGTCACTCTGTGCTGTTGAAAGCTAATTAAAGCATGCCCGTCCTCCCTCCTGTTCTACACACACACGCATGGAGCCCAGCGTGAACATCCCCGTCTCAGGGTCTGCATGGCTGTCCTTCTGCCAAGTTGTCCCCAGCATGCTGCAGCAGGGAGCCCTGCTCCTCACCCTCCTGGCACTGGGCAGCCCTTGTAATTCTCCCCGAGAACCCCATGACTCCGCCCTGGCAGGGAGAGCTCCCTGGGCAGTGGCTGCTCTGATCCACTCCCCCCCCCGGGTTCTCCCATGGGCCCACGGCTGGAAGAGGCCGGATTCGGGGAACCCATCAGCGCCTCCTCACTCCTGGCCTGCACAGATGCCCTTGCAGGCTCCGGGGTCATGGAGCAGCAGGCGCTCCTGGGAGAGTGTCTGCCATAGGCTAACTGATTTCTGGGGATTGGGCCTCCTGCTGGAAATGAAACCCAGGCTTTCCTGCTTCCTGAGCTCCCCCGCGTCTCACCAGGCAACTGCTTTGCTTTCAGGCCTGTCCCTTTCTGGGCACCCATGTCCTTCCTTTCTGGGAAGGGAGGGAAGAGTCACCCCTCCCAGGTCCTCATGGAGCCCTTCCTAGTGGCGCTGCCATGCTGCTGCTGACACCGCCGACATCTGGCTGGTCCCTCTGTCATGTCTCCTGGGCTGTGAGGAAGAGCCGGTGGGCCAGTAGTGACGACACCATGCCATCCCTTCCTCTGAGCCCCGCAGCATGCCGGCTTCCCCGCAAGGTCGGGGACCTGAGCAGGGGCTGCACAGCCTCTGGTCGTCCAGCTGCTTCCTCTTGTCTTCAGCAGGCAGGGAAACAGCACATTCAAGCTGCTTTGATCCTGCCAACATTTCAGTCCAATAGAGGCGGCCTGGGGAGTTCTCTCTGTGGGGCCGGGGGCTCTGGACACCCGTTCTCATGGGAAGTCCTCCTGTGGCTTGCTTTAGCATCCCGCCATCCCAGAGGTGGGTCTGAGGGCGGGCCACGCCCAGCCAGCTGGGATCAGCAGTGGAAGCACACAGGGTGTGATGGGAGAAGGCACGTGACAGCTCACAGGTGCAGCGCAGTCAGGTGTGCATACGTGTGTGCTCACGTACATGGTCACCTCTCACACACCCTGCACGGGGACCCCGAGACCCTCAAACCCTCCAGTCCCTCACATAGAACCACACACTACAGTCAGCCCCACATAGGTCCCACCCCCACGGAACTGGGAGTGTGCTGTCGCGGAGAGAGGCAGGGTAGAAAATAAGCAATAGGGGACAGAGGACACTGTTAAAACTCTGATGTGGAGGGGAACCAGCAGTTAGCGTAATGGCTATGTTGCTGGACTCCCACGTAGTCGACCGTGGTTCGCGTCCCGGACCCGGTGGCTTAAAACTCACGCCAAG